GGGTTCTTTGAATTTTCTTCCTTCTGCAGACGATTCTGATCCACTAGAAATAGATAGGCCTAGTTTTTCTCAATGATGAATGCATTACTCTTGTTATTGATGTTAATTAGTAATGGTAGAAGAAGAAGATATACATAAAATGAACGTCGGGATGGTGTTAGTACTATTACTAGTATTATCAAGAGTCGACAGAAACGTTGATAGCTATGCCTAGTTTAGAAGTAGTAGTAGTTTACAGTAGTTGTTAAGGGCATTGATTGCTTCGAATGTTTACAGTGATGGTGAGTTCAACAGTCCATCTGTGACAAGGGTTCTCAACTAGGCCTAGGCCTAGGCTAGACCTATATCGCAGTAGGGGAAAAATGATTCATTGAATAAACACTGAGTAAATTTTATACGACCTTGGCATTACCTTACAGACGCGTGTGAATGCTTTTTATCTCGGTAGGAATAACTCAGGAGATCGCTCGGTTACAATTCGTTACTTTTTATTAAATTTAACTTCACGTGTGAATCGGGTATAACTGTTTGTGTTAAATTTTCCATATCCTTGGCCTACATCATTACTCCTGCATGCTTCTATATTTATCCTGTAGTAAAGTCCTTTAAGCTGTAGAATACTGTACCTTGACTTCCACTAGAATTTTTCACATGTATTTTGCAAACTATATTCAAGGGTCTTATCACCTCATATTGGTTGCATATAATGTTAACATGATAATTACCGGTATTTATATATATAGATTTTTTTGTATTGAAATTGTATTGTTCATTCTTTTTTTTTAAATAAAAATCCAAATTCTTTGTTCACCAATACTTAGCGATTTAAGTTTTTATAAAGAAAGAATTAATTCATTAAAAATCTTGATGAATTTCTTCAGTAGAGTGTAATATTTCTTGAAAGGTTATCTATTAAAATTGAACAGTTGTTGACAGGCTGAGGATCATGTTATGTTTCAGGTGCAAGAGCAAGATAAAGCAATAAATTTAATAGTAATCCTTAATGTCTGGGTGATTTTGAAATTTAATCTTTGTTAATTTATTTTAATTTCTTATTTTTTTAATTTAATAAATCAAATTTATTTTTATCTATTTATTTCCCATGGAGCATAAATTATATTTTTTGTCTCCCAAATTCTCATATTTTCTTTCAATCATATTTATTTTGCATCACATAAAAATTGTAAAATAATCATGATATATAATATAAACATTAAAAAACAGATGTCAGGAAAGTTTTAGAAAAACAAAACTTACTTTCCATGGGGTCCACAATGAAAATATTGTTAATGCACAGGTTTTATCTACTAACCATAGTAACCCTCTGGTTATAGGCCTGATCCCTTAAAGATAAAATTTAATGTTCGTAAAATATGCGAGTTAAATCTACAGTATAGTGATGAAGCTTAATGGTTAAAATGCTTGATTTATCTTCTTTGTTCAACTCCTGTGAAACTTCAGTAGTTGAGGCTTAGTTATTAGACCATCATTCCATCCCTTAAGCCTCTTTTCCACCTCGCGAATTTATTCGTGCGAATCGAAAGCGCGGTTCATGCGCATTCACATTTTATCGGAATTTTCGCTTCAGCGAAAATTGGTAAATCAAACTGTTTCTGCTCTTTGCGGAGTGAAAAATGTGCGCAACCAATCAGAGCTCAGGAACCGAACTGATGCCTTCGATTCGCGCAAATAAATTTGACTAGTGTCAAACCAGCTTTAATTAGTGTGTAAAGTCTTGCTATGGAATGCGAATAAAAGGGAATAATAAAACAATATTACATTATATAATACCTGTGGGACTGGGGATTGTCAATAGCATTGTTACTTTCCATAAATCTATCATATATAGTGATCATTTGGGATCTGTGATTATGGGTACTGATTTCTTTTTGGAAATGAGACATTAATTAATTACCGACTATTGACATGGAGCATTTATTCATCTAATGATGAAAATATATTGCTGCGTATTAAGTTATTATGAATATCACAGAAGCATGCAGTACTCTGAAAAGGTTCATCCGTTTTAAAATACTGTACAAGACACAAATGGCATAACAAGAAGACTGTCATTTTTCATGTCTCTTTTTAGTGAGCTGTCTCAGTCTGTGACATTTATGCATCTGTGTTTCGGAGAAATGGATGGTAATTTGTTTTCAGTAGAAAATGAAATTGGGTTTGTGTGTGTACTGCTATTCAATTTTAAATTTACTGGCAGTATTACTAGTTACAAGGTAATCTATCACGCCAACCACAAAAACCACCCACACTTTGATGATTTCCAGTAGGCACAATCATTCAAACAATTGTAAGCTATGAATTATATAGCGTCTTAATTCCTTTGTATTTTTGGCATCAGATGTCATTGTATTACATCATTATGGAAAAACTGCAATTTTTAATAATTGATATTCAACATATTGGTTTGTTGTTAAATACATGCATAGTGAATATTTATTATTTTTGCAACTTGTTGTTTGAACTGCACATGCCAGTATCAAAGTCAATCAACATAATTAAACACACAGCATTAAGGTTATGTCGATTGACATTGGATAAGGCATGCGCAATTCAAACTACGAAATGGCTTATTGTTATCCCAGACAAGTAGACTTCATTGCACATTTAATTATTTAAATTAATCCAAACTTAATCCCAATATGAAGTCGTATGGATCAGATTTTCAGGGCTGCCGCCAGCGGAAGGACGGGCTGGGGAGTCATGAAGTCTTTTGGGGAAACTTGAATGAGTCATTTTCTATGCCAGAGACATGAAATTTATTTATGTGTTGTAATATAAATATGAAAGTTTGAAGTCTGTGTCCTGAATACCATGAATTATTTTACTGTGATATTTCATAGTTGACTGATTGACGACGTCAAATTTGACTACATTATGTCAATAGTGATGAAGGTGACATGTGACAGATCTACATGGTTCAAATAAAGATTAATATTGTAAACAGCTGTCTTGTTATGAACTATGCAGTAAAGAGACATCAAATAAAAATTCTTACAATGTATAGATAAACCTGATTTCAATTCAAGTGATAAAAATGAAGGATGACTTCTTTTAAAAGCAAAGTGGTTGCTTTAGACAGGTGGGGAGTGCAATGGGACATAGGAACGCTAGTCCCTCTCACATAAAGTTTGTGGCCAACCCCCTCTAAAAACTAGCTGAGCAAAATAAGTTCTTTTAACTTTCTGACCTTATCGGTCTCCCCGACCATACCGTATGGTGGTGTGTCTACTGTGGGAGTCTTGAAATAGAGGGAGGGGGAGGCGCAAATAGGGGCGTGAAGGTGAGGTTGTTTGTGATTTTTTATCTACTTGAGTATGATTTTTTTGCTTCAACATTTGTGGCAAAGACAAGCCAAACCAGTCACTCAATGCAAAAATTGATTTTTAGTTATTAATACAGTACTGGGTTAGACAATAAATTGAGAACTATCAAATGTTAAAAGAATCATTTAATTCCAAAATTTCATTACAGCTGTTTAAAGAACAATACTTGAGAAAACAGCCTTCAAAATTTATGATTTCGGGCATTTCTCAGCCAGAAACCATCTCCAAATTATAAAAAATTTTTTTAAAAGGGGGAAAATAACAGCACAGCATGATATAAAAATATATGAAGGTTATTTTAGTGCAATAAACTAGATTTCGAAAATGTTTACATTCCAGCATGTTTTGGCCATTATCTCTGACACAGGATTTCATACGAGTGATTGGTTTGGCTTGTCTTTGCCACATTTTCAATATAGGAGGGGGTGGGGGAAATTGAAAAAATGGGGTGGGGTGTGCATCCCGCACACACCCTAGATACGTCACTGCTACCATGTCAATACTCCTAGATACACCAATATAATGGCAAGCCAGTAAGATTCTCCATATAATACAAGAACTTTAGAAATTTGCCTTTATTATGATGATCATTCCCGTCAAACCTGTGTATATATTTTTTTAAGGTGAGCAAGAGCAGCAGAAGGAATTCTTTGATAATTATGGCAGAAATGAAGAGGAAGAACCTACAGGTTGGTACAGAACCTTTTTTAATATAATAAATAATAATTTATAAAAGTGTTGTTTAGAGGCAGTCTGAACAGATCGTCATCGTCACGCGTGACGACCATCAGCTGCAGCGATTGAGATAGCGACAGTACACACCTTCGAATCTACGCCTACTGTAAATCCCTGAATAAGCGCTGCTCTTGAAATATGCGCCGCACCAAACATTATTTTTTTGCTAAGTGTCGCTCTCGAATAAGTGCCACAGGGCATATTTGAGAGTACATATTACCCTGTAATGAAACACTTTGAGCAACAGGGTTTTAAATACAATGTATACAGTGTTGAAATGAATAATTAACACAATGATGATGTAGGTATCTACCTAACTACGGGAATACGCGAGATAGTTAACATGGGAATGGGCATGAAAAGCGCCACGCCAATATTTGTTTAATAAGCGCTGCTCTCGAATAAGTGCCGCACTGAAACCTCCAAAAATGTTATTACAGGTAGTGCAGCGGAGCTTATTCAGGGATGTACAATACTCAATATTCAATACCCATGTAAACACATGGACATTCATCGCTTTTCATAGGATGATTGGATTTTACCAAAAGTAACAAAAATAAGATAAGCAAATTAAGCTGTTTAAAAAGAAATGCTATAAATAGTTACAATGGAAAGCTTCAGGGGTGACTGTTCAATCAACCTTAATTCAATGCATTTTATGACGAATTAGCACATCAGCCAAGCGTCTCTTACATGTGCTACCTTTCGCTACAAATTTCATAGACAATATATTAATTTGCAATGCAAATAATTGTCCTTGTGGAATGAACCCTGAAATACCGGATCTTAACATTGTCTAAGTCATGGCTAATTAGTTTTACATTCAATTAGTATTATTGTCAATTATTAAATGATATTTATGTATTAATTCAGGTATAAAGTCATGTTTAATTAAGTATCTGAATGTAGACATTTGTTCTTTAGAAATTATTTAAGGTATAAAGATAAATACATAAAATATATTGAACTACTACATTTTACAAGGAGAAATAAGATATTTGACTTATTAAAGATTACATGAATATTTCAAATTGCAATTAGTCTATCACAAATAAATAGATTTAACCATCTACTATCATTTATTTTAACATTAATAAATAGTAATAATATAATAATAAATTAGTATAGTCATATTTCATAGTAGATAGAGATTGAAATGTAAATAATTTTGATTAATGCATGAATAATTTATAATATTATTATTAACGTTAACATAGTAGTATTATTACTTACATAGAGTACATTATTTGCCAACTGAATAGAGAGATATGTAAATTCAATAATACAGAATATAAATAACCTACTCAAAGCATCATATTCCTTGAAGTAAGCAGACAATATGTGGGAGTGATTACTTTATTTTTATGTAACTTTAAGATTCAAATCGAGTGCAATAAAATATTTTACTGTACCACTGGTTAATAACACGTACAGACATGTTGTTCTCCATACAGCATAACATAGGAAATGATGTGGGTTATTACATCATTAAATTAACATTTGTTTTTTAAATCAATTACCTACATAATAATGTTAAGAACATCGAAGCAGCTGTATTTTGCACTAATAATAATATGTCATTACTGCTGTGTGTTTATGCCCTATTTGACCTGTAACATTCTGGTGTGTATTTTTGTATTCTAGCCTCAGGAGGTAAGCCTCCACAATATGAATAATAGAATTCAGATAAGTCAGTGATAAACATTCAACTGTTCATTTTAATCATTTTCAAGAACATACTAGTACATTTAAATTTTGAATAATAATCATTGTTTTACACCTATTCTATATTTAGGAATATGTACATATCTGTAGTAGAAAAAATAGTTGCTATTATAAATCCAAGGCCTACAGCAACTATGCTGATGGAATTGTATGAGGAAATTCGACCCAGTGTATGTGCGTTATGCATGCGTATTGTACATGCATGTTGTACGTGCGTATTACTGTAGGTGTGTACTGCACATGCATACTGTGTGTTTATACTGTACATATGATTGTATGCATAATTATGTGAGGCTGTGTTGATACTTTTGTTTAAATTTAAGGACTATTATTTGTCTACGGTATGCATTAATTTGAAGTCTTTTTAAAACATCGAAGTCCTTGCTTCCCATATTAATTGCTGTCATTAGGTTCGTTGAAGCTTCATTAAAATTGTATTAATTATTCTAATTAATTAATATAGATTTAATGGAGCTAAGTTTATTAATTATTCTAGTTAGAAAAAATAATAGCATAACTCTATTATTTTACTTTAAAAAATAAATGAAATAATAGAGTTATGCTATTATCTAATTAGAAAAAGATAATAGCATAACTCTATTATTTTACTTTAAAAAATAAATAAAATAATAGAGATTTTATGCTATTATCTAATTAGAAAAAGATAATAGCATAACTCTATTATTTTATTTATTTGTTTAAAATTGTATTGCTTTAGGCACATGTCCCAGTATTAGCAATAGGGACTTGATTACTGTCATATTAGATACAGTATGTGGCAATCCCATCACATGACAAACATATGATACTTTATACACTTACCAAATCTCATAGGCTTAGGGATTGGAGTTGTTTTTGGTTGTGAGAATAAATCCTGTTACCATGACAGCAATTGAACCCAGGACCCTGGGATTGGAAAGCAAGCATCTTAACGACCAAGCTATTCAACTCCACTCCTATAAACTGAATTTGTCTTATGTTTAGTACATTTCTTATATTGTGCTTAGTACATTTATTGCCTAAGACTGTTAATGGTAGGCATAATAATATGCTGATTGATTCGTAGTGATTAGCTAAGTAAGTGACGGGTATTAATATCATCCGGTAGAATGAATAATGACAGGTAGTGAATGGATGGATAAGTTATTGACTGAATAAAGGAATGAATACATCTATATCTGTCTCTTATACACATCTAGATGTGTATAAGAGACAGGAGTACATTATTTGCCAACTGAATAGAGAGATATGCGAAAGCTCTGGTTCTATTTCTGGCTGTTTACTTACGTTTACTTTTTAGCTGTTGCTTATCATTTTTGTATCTCTACCGAGATCCAGCCATAAGGACATATTCCATCATGTCCTTATTAAACACTGTATATGTACCTTGGATGATTTATATTATATTTATTCAGCAGTGTTAACGGCTAACTTCCTTCAATATCATTTTATATTTTTTTAAACTCCCCTGGGTGGGACACTGGTCCACTGCAGGTTACCCCAGCAATTTGCTGGTTGTACGTATCCATTGATACAATTGGGTACACTGAAGCAATGTAGATAAAATGCCTTGCTTAAAGGCACAAGCAAAATGCACAGCGCAAGATTGAAACCCCAACCTCGAGGTTGGGAAACCTAACCATTCCCACTGCGCCAAACTTCCCCCACTTCAAGCCGCCTCCACTCTTGCGATACAGTGTTTACTGTCAAAATGTGGATTGTTAATCGATTAAAGTTTAATTACACATTATTATATTTTTAGAAATGGAAAAAGATAAAGAAATGGAAGATGAGATAAAGGAAGAAGAGGGTGATTACCATAGAAATGACGATCAGGTGAAAATACAATTAGAACGGAACACAGAAAATTGGAGACAACTACGGAAGAAGTATATTCGCATTTCATCCCAGGCAACGATAACTCACCTGAAAAAACTATTAGCTCATAGATTGAAACTTGACAAACACACTGAGGTATGTTTCAAGTTGTTATTAATCATTATTCTTTCCTACAGATTTACTATTCAATTAAATTCAAGACATGGACTCTTTATTGTCTGCAGATTAAGATTGCATAGAACAGTTAAGATTATTTTATATTTAATAAGAATTAAAACAAATACCAATTGAACGACAAGTGCTAAGACTATTCACTCCAGGAGTGGATCCAGAGATGTCCGAAAGTGGGGCCGATCGAGACAACACTTCTCTTGGTGGTCTGAGGAATGACTCCGCGAAGTTTTTGTTTTCTAGATGCTAGAAAATAACCTCTGATGTGTTTTGGGTGATCAATTATTACTTTTACTTTCTTTTTCTTCCTTTTCTTTTTACTTTCAAAAAGAGGGTGGCCCGGCCCCCACCCCCAAATCCACCCCTGCACTCCTTCCTGGTAGTCATCAAAAAGGAGTTTACCAGGAAGGATTTAAAGTATACTATATTGTAAATGTTCCCCCAGTGTTGTCTATACAACTATAAGTAGCCTGTTATTACATACATTACGTAAATTAATTAGGTTAAATAATAAGTTACACTATAAATGAATTGTAAAATACATCTTACTCTCAAATAATTACCAGTCAATGTGAGCTAGATATTCCTTACATGGAATGGTAAATACCAAGTGTGTAAGTAAGTTACATTATGTATGTTTTTTCCTCTAGGTTGATATACTTTGCAATGAAGAAATTCTTGGCAAAGACCATTCTTTAGAATTTGTTAGTGCAACAAGATGGCGAAGTAAGGTAAGTTGTTGAATTACAATCTTTTAATTAGGTCCATGGTTAACTATATAGTTTCAAATGTGTAATTTATACTTCTTGATGGTTGCATACACATTTAATTGGCACATGTAAGAGGGTGTGGGTGGGGTGGGATTGTAAGTTCCCAAAAAATGTTTCCATCCCTCCCCCACCCTTGCCAGATTCTTCCACTGAAAACTACTAAAAAAAAAACACACAACTAAAGTAGTTAAAAAATCACATGATTTCTCACTTTTCATTGCCCCTCCCCCTATCGTCTCCATGACGGTACTCCTAGTATGCCAACTAATACTGGTACTTATTATTAGTCAAATGTGATTTTAAGATACAGTAACAATTGTTTCTAGATTAATAAAAAATGTGAAACATAAATATATTATTGAGAAGAGTATTGAATTGCCTTCTGGTGTAGGCTACTGATTAATTCAATTCCTTCATGTCTGCATGTTGTAAAGGTCTTTGTTGTTGGCTAAAAGGATTGCCAAGATTATTCAAGACAGTGATTTATTATTTTGTATGTTTTGTTTGTCATATCGTATATTATATGTTTTAATGACTAATAATAGATAGAATTTAAGCTCAGTGATTGTCACAAAGAAACAGTGTTCACTTCTATATAAAGACCAACACAGATATAGCATTTCATTGTATACTAGCTGGATTTATGAGAATATGAAATGATTCATCTTAAATATTCTTTTGTTTGTGGCTTTTGGAACATGTTTAAAAACAAGCTGTGAAAACATTTTGAAGCAAATTGTGATGTACATAAATAATCTACTATAACAATGTAATATTTATTTTTAAAAAGAGTATATTTAGAGGATAGCCCAGAGTCAGTGACCCAATGCCTTTGTCCCCTCAAAAGTTTATATTTCCGGATGTAATTAAATTTTATGTTGGTTTATATTTTTCTGAGAGTTGAAGCGGTACGTCCTAAGGGCAGGATATCTTTTTTTTCTCTCCTCTGAGCTTCCCTACCTCTTATTTTATTATTCTTTTTGCTGATAGAATAAAAAGTCACTTAAGATTAACGATTTCCTGCCTCAACAAGTGTGCAGTACAAATATTTAGCCTAAAATATATCCTTGTTAAAAAAAAAATTGTTATGATGCAAATTAATA